AAGAGCGCTTTGATGTTGTCTGGCTGGTGCTCCAGCACGAGGCTGCAGGAGCGCAGGGCTGCTCGGTAGTGGTCCAGTTTCAGCTGGGAGGCCGCCAGGTTGTTCAGACACTTCACCTTCAGCTGCAGGAGCTGCTCCTCTTCCTCGAACGTCATGTCCACTGTGGGGAAACAGGGGTCTGAGCCACCACCTTCAAAGTCCCCCCTACACCCCCTGGGCCACCTTCCACCAGGGGGGACCTCTGGCTTCCCTGGCTTCAGTTTCCCTCCTCTCTTAAGTAGGACCGGAGAGCCACACCTTCCCTGGGACATGCTCTAAGGGGCTAAAGAATGGAACCCTGGGCGGGCCCTGTGCACACAGGGGTCGGCAGGTGGTGTGGTGGTTAAGGTCGCTGGACTCCCACATGGCTGAACAAGGTTCAACTCCTGGACCTGGCAGTTTCCTTTCACACTTTGTCTTCTGTGCACACGCTTTCACTGGCCAAAAATAAATAAATAAATAAATAAAGTTAAAACAAAATTACTTTAAAAAAAAAAAAGGGAACCAGCAGTTAGTGTAATGGCTATGTCGCTAGACTCCCACGTAGTCGACCGCGGTTCGTGTCCCGGACCCGGTGGCGTAAAACTCACGCCAGGCGCGTGTGCGTACGTGCCCAAGATCCCGAGAGGAGAATGGAGGAGAAGGGACTGCGGCGTGACCATCCCCCCTGGGGGGTGATTTCTCGCTTTCTGTCTCTATGTCTCTCTCTGTCTGTCTGGCGAGCGCACGCGCCCTACAGTGAAAATCTCTCCAAAAACAAACAAACAAACAAACCTACTGCCCACACAAAGCTGGACCCTAAGGGACCAGAAGATGGCACGATTATGTCGCTGGACTCCCACGTGGCCAATAGAGTTCAGTGCCAGACCAGGAGGCTTAAAACTGATGCTGGGCACGTGTGTGTGTACTCCCAAAATCCCCAGAGAAGAGACTGCGATGTGGCCATCCCTCTGGGGTGCATCCTCACTCCTCCCCCCATCCTTTTTATCTATTAATGAGCACCTGTGCCCGGCAGGAAATTTTTGTAAAAGTTAAAAAATCAGGCCAGCTGGGACCAGCAGTTAGCATAATGGCTATGTCACTGGACTCCCACGTAGTCGACCGCGGTTCGTGTCCCGGACCCGGTGGCTTAAACTCACGCCGGGCGCGTGTGCGTGCGTGCCCAAGATCCCGAGAGGAGAATGGAGGAGAAGGGACTGCAGCATGGCCAACTTCCTAAGGATGAGTTCTCGCTTTCTGTCTCTGTCTCTCTAACAACACAGGCTCCATCACAAAAATCTCTCGAAGGACCAGAAGATGGAGTAAAGGTTATGTCGCTGGACTCCCATGTAGTCGACCGAGGTTTGAGTCCCAGACCCAGGGGCTTAAACTGGGCATCTATGTGTGCGTGCCCAAGATCCCCTGGGGAGTGATGTCTCGCTTTCTGTCTCTCTGTCTCTCTCTGTCTTTCTGGCAAGTGCACATGCCCTATAGCAAAAACCTCTCCCCCACCAAAGAAAAAAATCTCTCTCTAAAAATAAATACATTTTAAGTTAAATAAATAAAAAAGTCATTCTAAAAAAAAAAAAAATGGGAGGAAGGGGGCCAGCAGGTGGTATGGTGGTTAGAAGTGCTGGACTCCCACATGGTGGACCACGGTTCAGGTCCTGGACCTGGGAGTTTGCTTTCTATCTAGCTTTCTCCTCTCGTTCTGGCTCTCTCATTCTTTCCCTCTCTGGTCAAACTGAAATAAGTGAATAAATATATGGAGTTAAATAAAATATTTTTTTTAAAAAAGGGACGGAGTGCGAGGCTCAGGAAAAGTTAACAAGTACAGAAAGAAAAGTTGTTATGTACAGTATAGTACTAAACTACTAGTTTAACATGCAATGCATTTATGCTTCGAGAATCTGTTTTGTGGGACCAGCAGTTGGCGTAGTAGCTATGTCACTGGACTCCCATGTAGTCGACCATGGTTCGAGTCCCGGAACCGGTGGCTTAAACTCACGCCAGGCGCGTGTGCGTGTGTGCCCAAGATCCCGAGAGGAGAATGGAGGAGAAGGGATTGCGGCGTGGCCATCCCCCCGGGGGGTGATTTCTCGCTTTCTATCTCTCTGTCTCTCTCTGTCTGGCGAGTACACATGCCCTATAGCAAAAAAATAAATAAATAAATAAAGGAACCTTACCCTGACACTGTTTGCAGGCCCCACATCCTGACCTTCTCTGCACCCTGCAATATTCCACAGAGCTAGGATATAGGAGTCTGGAACAGACCTCAGAGACACTTGGGTCTCTGTCTGTATTCTGGAATATTCTAAGATATCCCGAGTCTGAGAAAACCCCGCGACCTGAGGTCTCCGGCCTTGGGAGCGGCCAGCCCTGTGAAGGAGGCGGCAGGGACAGGCCGCGGTCACCTTTGGCGCTGGAGGTGATGGCCTTGATGGCGAGGTCGTAGGAGTTGGCGGCCAGGACGAAGTCGGCCCGTTGGTAGTGGGCATTGCCGCACTCCCTCTTCCGGTTGGCCAGGGCCACGCGCTCCTGCCCCGTGAGCATCTCCAGGTCAGGACCGTCCACGGCCGTCTTCAGGGTCACTTCGAGGCACAGGGCTGCATTCGGGGGGATGTACGGGCTCCTGCTGGGGATGCGGGGACGGGCAGGGACAGCACTCAGACCTGGAGGTCCCCGGGCCTGTGCCCCAGACCTGCAGGCTGGGCTCAGGAGCAGGTGGGAAGCAGCTGAGGCCTGGGTCTATCCCCGCCGGCCACAGCCCCCACCTCGGCGAGACACAAGGGAAGTGACATGCCATCCTCGAGCTACGAGACCAGGCAGGGGGTTCCCCTCCCTGGGCCTCAGTTCTGCTTTCTGTAAAATGGGTGGGAACGGGGACCAGCAGTTGGAGTAATGGCTATGTCACTGAACTCCCATGTAGTCGACCACGGTTCAAGTCCTGGACCTGATGGTTTGAACTCACGCTGGGCACGTGTACGTGTGCATCCAAGAACCAGAGAGGAGAATGGAGGAGAAGGGATTGTGGCGTGGCCGTCCCCCCTGGGGGGTGATTTCTCGCTTTCTGTCTCTCTGTCTCTGTCTGTCTGGTGAGCGCACATGCTCTATAGTAAAAATCTCTCCCAAAAAAAAGAATTAATAGGGACCAGCAGTTAGCGTCATGGCTATGTCGCTGGACTGCCATGTAGTTGACCGCGGTTCGAGTCCTGGACCTGGTGGCTTAAACTCACGCCGGGCACGTATGCGTGAATGCCCAAGATCCCAAGAGGAGAATGGAGAAGGGACTGCGGAGTGGCCATCCCTCCTAGGGAATGATTTCTCGCTTTCTATCTCTCTGTCTCTGTCTCTGTCTGTCTGGCAAGTGCATGCGCTCTATATCAAAGAAAACCTCTCTCTCAAAAAAAAAAAAAAAAAAATTAATAACTAATTCTTGGGGCTGGCAGGTGGCATGATGATTAAGGGCGCTGAACTCTGATAGCCAACCCAGACCTGGAGGCTTGCTTTCTCTCTATCCCTCTCTGGTCAAAGTCAAAATAAATAAAGTTAAATAAAATAATTTTTTAAAAATTAAATTCTTTTTTTTTTTTTTGAGAGGTTTTCACTATAGGGCGCGTGCACTCGCCAGACAGACGGAGAGAGACAGAGAGACAGAAAGCGAGAAATCACCCCCCAGGGGGGATGGTCACGCCACAATCCCTTCTTCTCCATTCTCCTCTCGGGATCTTGGGCACGCACGCACACGCGCTCGGCGTGAGTTTTAAGCCACCGGGTCCGGGATGTGAACCACGGTCGACTACGTGGGAGTCCAGCGACACAGCCATTACGCTAACTGCTGGTTCCTGAAAAATTAAATAAATTCTTAACAAAAAGCAAAGATCACACCAGGTGTAAATGCACATGTGCCCAGAACCCCAAGAGGAAAATGGAAGGGACTGCAGTGTGGCCATCCCCCCTCCCAGGGGGTGATTTTTTACTTGCTGTCTCTCCATCTCTCTGTCTCTCCAGTCACTACACACACACCCCTATAGCGGAAAGGAGGGGGGATTCAACAGGTGGTGTGGTGGATAAGGCACTGGACTTCTACATGGTCAACCACGGTTTGAGTCTTGGACCTGGAGGCTTGCTTTCTCATTCTCTATTTCTGTCTGTCTCTTTCTGGTCAAAATGGAATAACGATACTAAACAAATAAAATTGGGACCAGGAGTTGGGATAATGGCTCTGTCGCTGGACTCCCATGTAGTCTACCGTGGCTCGAGTCCCGGACCCAGTGGTTTAAACTCACGCCGGGCGCGTGTACATGCATGCCCAAGATCCCGAGAGGAGAATGGAGGAGAAGGGATTGCGGCGTGGCCATCCCCTCTGGGGGGTGATTTCTCTCTTTCTGTCTCTATGTCTGTCTCTGTCTTTCTGGCGAGCGCATGTGTCCTATAGCAAAAACCTCTCCAAAAAAATTAATTAATTAGATTAAAATAAATAAATCTTAAAAAAAAAAAAAAAGAGCCAAGGCAGGCTGATGAGAGAGTCAAGGAAGACACCCTCTGCCCCACCCCTGGGACCCCAAGGGCGGCCAGCTCTCACCTGCCCTGGGGACCGTAGCAGTACTTGGAGTCAGCTGTGACCATGGCTGTCTCACCCACGTCCATGAGTGGGACACTGAGGTCCAGGGCCTAGAACAGCGGTGGGAACAGCCTGAGGTCAGGTGGGCCAGATGCCCCTCTTGGCCCGTCGGCCCCCCCCATCCCTACCTGGATGACGTCGCAGTCGCCCAGGGTGAACACCAGCTCAGGGTCCTCCTGTACCCGTGTGCCGTTCTCCAGTGACGTCTGCAGCTGTACCGTGACCACCTGACCCTTGGCCGGGCGACTGGAGCCAGGCGGGCCGGGGACCAGTGTCTTCTTCCTCAATAGCCCGTTCCCTGACGAGGAGCCAAAGACAAACAGCCTGTCATCTGGTGGTTCAGAAGGGCGCCTGCCCCCCCAACCTCTGCCCTGCCCCAGGCTCCGCCTACTCGCCGTCTTGGAGTGGGGTGGCCTGGCCTTGGGACAGAAGCCAAGGTTCCAATCCTGACCTTGGAGAATAACTGGTTCATGCATAAACAGAGCAGGCCAATGGCAAATACAGAACACGAGAGGGAGGCTTCTCATGAGGATCAGGAAAGACTAGCTTGTGGGACCAGCAGTTGGCGTAATGGCTGTGTCACTGGACTCCCATGTGGTCGACCACAGTTCGAATCCCGGACCCGGTAGCTTAAACTCATGCCGGGCGCATGTGCGTGCGTGCCCAAGATGTGCGTGTGTGTCTGTCCTTCTCTGGTCCAAAATTTAAAATAAGTAAATAAAGTTAAATACTTCTTAAAAAAAAAAAAGAATAGCCTCTCAGGCCAAGGTAGCAGATCTCACGTTGGCCACCTGAGCGGTTCGAGTCTGTGACCTGGCAGCTTGCTTTCTCATTGTCTTTCTCTGCTGAGCGAGGGTGCCCAATAGCAAAGAAGAATGATAATAACAGTAGCCGGCAGGTGGCGTGGTAGTTAAGGGCACTAGACTCCCACATGGCTGACTGGCGTTCAAGACCCGGACCTGGCAGCTTGCTTTCTCACTTTTTTTCTCTCTCTCTGACTCTGGCCCTCTCTGGTCAAAAAATAAATAAATAAATAGGGGCCGGCAGGTGGAATAGTGGTTAAAGGCACTGGACTCCCACATGGCCAACCGTGGTTCAAGTCCTGAATCTGGTGACTTGCTTTCTCACTTTCCCTCTCTCTCTCTCTCTCTCTCTCTCTCTCTCTCTGTCTGGTCAAACTGGAAAGTAACAATAATAATAAATAAAGTTAAAATAATTATTTAAAAATAAAGTTAAGTAAAATAATTCTAAAAAAATAACAATCACGATCAATAAAAATTTATTAAACTTCGGGACCAGCAGTTAGCATAATGGCTATGTCGCTGGACTCCCATGTAGTTGACCGCGGTTCGAGTCCCGGACCCGGTGGCTTAAACTCACATCGGGCACATGTGCGTGCGTACCCAAGATCCCGAGAGGAGAATGGAGGAGAAGGGACTGCGTGCGGCGTGACCATCCCGCCTGGGGGTGACTTCTCGCTTTCTGTCTCTCTGTCTCTGTCTGGCGAGCGCACGCGCCCTATGTAGCAAAAACCTCTCAAAAGAAAAAAAAAAATTTAATAAACTTTTAAAGGATTATTTTCTTTAACTGAATTTAATTATTTTCATTTAACCAGAGAGGAACATAGTGGGACAGGACATTGAGAAAGCAAGCTGCCAGGTCCTGGACTCAAACTATGGTTGGCCATGTGGGAGTCCAACACCTTAACCACCACGCCACCTGCTAGCCCTTTAAATAAATCATTCTTTTCTTTATTTCTGATTTTGGAGATGTTTTTGCTATAGGGCGCGAGCACTCACCAGAAAGACAGAGAGAGACAAAGAGACAGAAAGTGAGAAATCACCCCCCAAGGGGGGATGGCCACACTGCAATCCCTTCTCCTCCAGTCTCCTCTGGGGACTTTGGGCAAGCACGCACACACACCCTGCATGTTTTCCAAGTCACCGGGTCCTGGACTTGAACCACACAGTTGGCCATGTGGGATCTAGCCACCTTAACCACCACACCACCTGACTGTCCCGAAGGACGTACTGTGTACACAGGCCATAGCATTTGTTAACATAGTTGAGTTTCGGCCCCGGGAACAACACATAATATTGTCTTCCATGGGACAATAATATTTCCCATGTCCAGAGCTACTAGGATCGGGTCTATGGGAGCACCTGTGCTTCCTTCTTCAAGGATTTCTCCGATCTCTTACAATGCTAATGAGGAGCCAGCACGTGGCATGGTGGTTACTGCACTGACTCCGACATGGTAGATCGTGGTTCAAGTCTCGGAATGGGCAGCTTACTTTCTCCCTAATCCCTCTCTCTTTCTGTCTTGTCAAATTAAAATAATAGTGGGACCAGCAGTTAGCATAATGGCTATGTCGCTAGACTACCACGTAGTCAACCGTGGTTCAAGTCCCGGACCCGGTGACTTAAAGTCACGCCGGGCGCGTGTGTGTGCGTGCCCAAGATCCCGAGAGGTGAGTGGAGGAGAAGGGATTGCGGCGTGGCCATCCCCCTGGGGGGCGATTTCTCGCTTTCTGTCTCTGTCTCTCTCTGTCTGTCTGGCGAGCGCACGCACCCTATAGCAAAAACCTCTAAAAAAAAAAAAAGGGAAAGGGGGAAAGCAAGCCACCAGGGGGGTCTGGGACTCAAACTTGCCCATGTGAGATTCCAACACCTTAACCACCATGCCACCTATTGGCCCATAAAATAACTCTTTAAAAATAAGAAGAATCCCAATGAGGTTCCAGCAGGTACATAGTGGTTAATGCACTGGATTCCCACATGGCCTGACCATGGTTCTAGTCCCAGCTCCTGCAGCTTCAAAATCATGCCAGGTGCATTCCTGTCCATGCCCAAAATCCCAGGAGAGTGGAGGAGAAGGAACTGTCATAATGGCCATCACCACCCCCTCAAGGGGGTGATTTCTCACTCTCCCTGTTTCTCTCCGGTGAGCACGTACACCCTACGGCAAAAACCTTCCAAAAAATGGGACCAGCAGTTAGTGTAATGGCTGTGTCGCTGAACTCCCACGTAGTCGACCGCGGTTCGAGTCCTGGACCCGGCGGCTTAAACTCACGCCAGGCGCGTGTGTGTGCGCGCCCAAGATCCCGAAAGGAGAATGGAGGAGAAGGGATTGCGGTGTGGCCATCCCCCTGGGGGG